GGCTGAAGGTACGAGATTTTGTGAAATGCAGCGTAAGGGCAGGAAGTCAAAGCTTTCAGAAAGGACCCTAGGGCTAATGAAGAAACGACGTGAAAACCCACCTGTCACTTTGTTGTCAAAACGGACTCTAAACCAAGAGATCAGTAAACTCGTACGGCACGACCTCCGGTGCTCCAATACTCTTTCAATTGAAAGAGGGTCAAAAGTGTTCGTACAATCTCGTGGAAGAAGCCACCTGACAAAGTTGACCACAGAAAGTGGAGAAGTCGTTGCTTCGAAGCCGGCAGTCTTTTTGGAAGTGGAAAGCATCTATGGCCGGTTATACGCTTCGCATGCATCTCGACCTGATCCCTAAAATGAGGACTCTAGAGCCACATTACATAACACTACACCGAAGACCTGCCAGAAGTTGGCATGGATGGCTCTTGGACAGCTGAAAAATGGAAAAGCCCCTGGAGAGGATGGCGTTACAACAGAGCTGCTAAAGGCCGGGGGTAAACCCGTACTAAGGGAGCTCCAAAAGCTCTTCAACGCTGTCCTGTTTGAAGGTAGAACTCCGGAAGCGTGGAGTAGGAGTGTGGTCGTCCTGTTCTTCAAAAAGGGTGACAAGACCAGGTTGAAGAACTATCGACCCATATCCCATCTAAGCCACGTCTACAAGCTGTTTTCGAGAGTCATCACGAACCGTCTTGCGCAAAGACTCGACGAATTCCAACCACCGGAGCAAGCTGGATTTCGGAGCGGATATGGTACCATAGACCACATCCACACAGTGCGGCAGATTATACAGAAGACCGAAGAATATAATCAGCCCCTGTGTCTAGCTTTCGTGGATTATGAGAAAGCCTTTGAATCGATCGAGATTTGGTCTGTTCTGGAGTCCCTGCAGCGTTGCCAAGTAGATTGGCGACTCATCCAAGTGATGAGATGTCTTTGCGAAGCCACCACCATGTCCGTCCAAGTACAGAATAACCAAACAAGGCCCGTACCATTGCATCGAGGAGTGAGACAAGGGGACATTATTTCCCCGAAATTGTTCACAAATGCAATGGAGGACATGTTCAAGACGCTGCACTGGAAAGGGAGTGGCATTAATATCAATGGCGAATACATCTCTCACTTGCGATGTGCAGACGACATCGTCATCATGGCAGAGGACGCTGCAGGACCTACAGCAAATGCTAAATGACCTATTTGACACTTCTGTACGCATCGGCTACGGATGAACTTGGATAAAACCAAAGTCATGTTCAAGGAACATGTACTACCGGAACCGATTGCGGTACACGGTTGCCGTTCTCGAAGTTGTTCAAAATTATGTGTACCTAGGGCAGACATTGCAGTTAGGTAGAAACAACTTCGAGGACGAGGTGAACAGAAGAATTCGGTTGGGTTGGGCAGCGTTTGGGAAGCTACGTCGAGTCTTCTCTTCGTCGATCCCATAGTGCCTTAAGACGAAAGTCTTTAATGAGTGCGTCCTACCCGTCATGACATACGGAGCTGAAACGTGGACACTTACGGTACGGCTGGTCCACAAGTTTAAAGTCGCTCAACGTGCTATGGAAAGGGCTATGCTCGGCGTTTCTCTAAGGAATCGCATCAGAAATGAGGTGATCCGGCAGAGAACCAAGGTCACCGACATAGCCTCAGCTTCAGCCTGTGGCAGTGGGCTGGCCATATTAGCCGCAGAACCGACAACCGTTTGGGGTTCGACGAGTTCTTGAGTAGTGTAGGATGCCCCCAGGTGGAGTGACGATTTGCGCAAGACGGCTGGCAGGAGCTGGATGCGAGAAGACCAAAATCAATCTAAGTGGCGTGCAATGGGAGAGGCCTATGTCCAGCAGTGGACTGCGATATGCTGATGATGAACTGCAGTTTAGGCAAGCGAGGTCTGTCGGGTTAATTCTTCTAGAGCATACCTTGACTCCGAATCAAATCCGTCGGATTAATACGTAACCGCCGGTGATCGTGCATTCAACTAATTAGTATCCGGAGGGATTTCACTTAAAAAAACGCATTCACACATAGTTCTAAAAGTAACTTTCTGATGCTGCACTTTATTACAAGTAAATTTTTACACGGTATTATTATCATCCGCATGGTGACGGATTAAAAATACAGGGTACCACCATCCCTATTGGTAGTAAGTCAAAACCTCCTTCCTATGTCTAGCAATGGACTATTTGGTTGGTACGTTGCTGATGATTGATGTGATGGTTATTGTTATAAACGTTGCAATTAATTAATCCTTGAGGTGGCGCTAATTTCATTTTTACATGCAGCCTTCAGAGAGCAATAACCCCATTGTTTGACATGGTGACATCTATTTGTATAGTCGTTACAAATGTAGGTATAAACGTAAGCGAGTAAATATATAAACGTAAAGAACAGTAACATAAAAAGTGATAAAAATTGTAAGCCAACGAATAGCGTTATTTCAACTGAATATTAATGTTTTACAACTTTACTATACGAAAAGAAAAGAAGCGCGGCCTCAGTAACTTTAATTATTTAAGAGTTTACATTTTTGTCAAAAGAAGTTTGATTAATATTAATTTTCTTTCATCTCTTTTCTTTTAAAGATGTTAACCAGTCATCTTGTTGTTGTTAGTATATTTCAAACATTTACCAATGAAGTATCTAGCTACATGAGTACTTTTACTCGCAAAATTTGGGTGCACCTACTATCAGCATTAAACGAGACCAACATTAGTATGCTTTTAAGAATAGTTATTAATAGAATTGATAATGTTGTATTTTTTTTTGTTTACATGTTTTCAGTTTTTTTTTTTCTTGTTTCGAATCGTCACTGATATGTGTCGTCACGTCATCTCGTCACGATTCGCACGTCATATTATTATATGTATTTCACATGTGCCTTCAAAAAGGTAATAATATTTTAGTGGTCGCACCTACTGAATTTATTAGTGTGTGAATCGACACCTCTAGAAAAAATGTGGTGTCAATGCGCACACATTTTCTTAAAGATTTTTTTTAATAGCACATAGAAATAGTGCATATAAATAACACAAAGGAAACAAATAAAATTATATATTTGTGGAAAATATGCGCCCGGACCTAATGGTATTCCAGGTCGGGCGCTGGCGATAGCTCTGTCGGTACTGGGGGACAAACTGAGGCGGATTTTCACGGATTGTTTTAGCCACGGTGTCATCCCCTCAGCTGGAAAGAAGCTAGACTGGTGCTCTTGAAAAAGATGGAAGGACTGCAGATTCTTCCTTTACGTTCTAACCGATATGCCTACTGAACGAGTCGGGGAAATACTTTGAAAAGGTTTTCTAAGATCGTATCAGCGAGCACCCGTGGGGAGGGAGCGCGGGAGCGGGAGTGGCCACGAAATTGGGACTTGTTACATTGGTGTGATTTAAGAATAAAACTGGGCTGAGTTAAGAATAATAAATTAAATGTAAGGGGGGGGTGGCGGGAATAAGCATTTTGGATGCTATAAGAATGGGATAAAAATCTAGTGGGATGCAAACGGAAGAACAACAATTTTAATTAAGATATGATTGTTTTAAATGTTATCCATTAAACATTATTATATTAAAGTATTTAGTGATTGAGACTAAATATCTGTAAAAGAAATTTACAATAACTGAGGCTAAGTCTAAATCTGACTGACTGATTATTAACCGTAGTCTGAGTTTACAATTAGGCAATTTTTATTAAAATGCAGGACTATAAGTTAAACTTGTTTAGCTATTTTTTTTTGTTATGAAATTAACTCAAAGTACAATGCCCAATTCCCCTTAATAAAAAAATACAAAAAGCCAAGCGTAAATGAAAAGCTAGATGGTTTGTTTGACCTTGGACAACGTTAATTCCTAATTGTTTAGTGGATTTATGACAAAAGTATTAATAATAGTAGTATGAATAATATGTATCACAAGAGTACAGTATAGCAGAATTCATAACATGTCTAAGTCAACAATTCCGGGACAAATCGATAAGTCTGTTTCTTCAGTTCCCAAAATAAAACCTTTATACAATGGGTCATTATAATTTATATAATCATAAAGGTGTTCTTCCTGGTATAACATTAACTTAAAATTCTATCATTGCAGCAATCGCTGTAATCTCTTTGCCCAGTTCGTGACCATATTTTTGATATTATTTCTAATATTTATAAAGATTTAAAAAATATATGAAGGCCTATGAAGGTTGGGTTTGTACACAGCTTTACTAAACAAAAACCGGTCATGTGGCAGAATTTTTATGTTATGAAACTCTAAAACTGACTTGACTTGTCATAATTTGTTTATTTATTTATTGGATCTCCAACAAAAGATCTACACAGAAGTAAATATATTACAGAGATAGTTTTTTAACAGTGTACTCCTTCAGTTATAGGAGGCTACAGCATGTACGAGATTATTATTAATTGCTCTCAAAGTGGTGGATCTACTCTTAGGTATTTAAGATTTTTATGGTTTAACATTTTATTGTTAAATAAAAAAAACATACTCTTAGTCGTGAGTAAAGAGATTAGCAGTTTAACATTTGTAGTTTGAACTTTATATCTATGTATAAATAATGTTCACCCATTTAAGTGTCAAAATACCTAATACGTTGCAGTAGCATATAAAATGCACAATGAAAAATATTACGAATGATTTAAAAATGTAACAGTTTAATCCATCTAAATGTTTCAAATACTAATAGCAGGGTACCAATAATTATCTGTAAACTTATCGTCGCCAAACCATAACTAAATAAAACTACTTTTAACGCCGTGTTCTTCGTTAATTTGCCACCATATTATTTTAATGTGAGTTATATTCAAACGTTATCTGAATATAAAGTTTGTTTTAGTATAAAAAGTCATACCTTTAAAAAGATAGTTGGATAAAAACAGCTTAAAATATCTGTATAAATATAGGTGGAAGATGTGATACATTGTTTCAGTATAGTCATAGACCTCGTGCGAGCATCATTGTGATAACGATTACAAACTTCTCTAGTCGCCAAGACGGAGTAACATGACTGAGACAGGTTCAAAAGAAAATAAAACAGAGTGAGTACCTACTTACTTATCTTTAAAAAATTAATTAAAAATTAAAAAAATAAGCTGTGCGTATAATATAAAAAATGCAATAAAATATAAATAAAAAAAGAATCGTCAGTTTAAAAACAAAAGCGCTGTCTTGCATAGCTGGGTGCAACACATTTTGCAATAACGTAAATTTAATATAAATATTTACTTTGCAAATTGTTTATTTATAATTACTATTTTGGAATACACTAATCATCCACAGCCTTTACTAGTCTTACAGCAGCTATTGGCTTTTAGCATTATCTGTGAATTAAATCAATTAGATTGTGTACTTACATACTTATTACGATGACAGTAAATTTATATGAATTTTAATCTTGAGGGAGCCAGACTTCGGCACAAATGGGAAGGATAAACCGGAGCAAAAGCGGCGTTTAGCACGTAACTCTTTAAGTTTCCAGTGCCCATCAGCGCAGTTGGTCACTTACTATTGATACCAATAAAATATTGATATAAAGGAAGTAGGAAAAAGATAATTACCCGAAGGGCACACTTGATATCTAATTTTGTTTGGGTAGAGTTATAATAAAATTTAATAATAATATTCACACACATCTCACACACGGCCGTCTGATTCCAAACTAAGCAGAGCATGTACTACGGTTACCAGAATGTTGCTATATATTTCTTAAAATGTACATATTACTGATAAATTACATCAAGACATGGAACAAATGATCATGCTTATCACTCAAGTATTTGTCCTGGATAGGAATCATACCCACGACCTTTGGTGTAGCGGTCAGTGTCACTCACCACAGGACAGGAAGAACCGTTGAATCATCATAAGAATCAGGCTATGTTCTATTAGAACAATTTAAATAATGATTATCTTTCTTTTTAACTGTCTAGAAAATAAATATAAGATCCGTTATTAGGTGACAATTACTAATTATGTAAAAATTTGTATACCACTTTAGTGATAGAAAAACTACGTTGCGAGATTTTAATTTTTACATTGTATCCTTCTAAAAGATATAAAATTTAGATGCCTTCTTTTAATATTATAATAAGTACAGTGTTCACAAACGTTCTTATCTTAATTAGTAACATTATTAGGGTTTACAACTTAATACAATTAGTTATCAAGTTGTAAAGTAAATAATAAAACCTCAGAAAACCGGTACCTCTAACAACTGTAAACTTATTAAAAATACGATAAGCATGAGAAAATCTGGATGGAGAAAATAATACTTTTCTGTTAAACCACATGTTTTATAAAATATTTTTATAAAAGTCGATTATTCAGTGTTCTTGTTTTTTATTTGTACGTTTTAAAATAAATTGGTACAATCCTTGAAGCTTCTCTAGCATTGAATACCTCACTAAGATAAATTAGTTGACATGACCATCAATTTATTTATCTCAGAAAATATTAGCTTCTTCATATAATTTATCAGTAATCCAAATAAAGATATTGTTTGAAAAATACTCGAGCGGGTTTTTATTTGTGGGAATGTCTCTTTTTGTGTTTTTCATAGATACTACATAATAGTAGGCTGATGTTTTAAAAAAGAGATGGGCAGACTTTTTAACAAGTTTTATTAATATGATATTTTTGTATGTAAAGAAATCTTCGAACATGATTTTGAGCCACTTCAAAACGTCAAAATAAATAGAAACTTCGTAAACTTATCAAGGACTGGTGACAATACAATAATTTTATAAATTTGGCCTATTATACTGGTCAGGATCTTCAGGATTTAACGGCTTTTTTCCATACTTAAAATACGGGTAGTGTCCTTTTTGCTACGTACTAAGAGGCGTGTGCGGAAGCATACGTGACTTACTTAGTTGTTTACATTTTTTCTAAATGCGAAAATAATTAATAATCATTTTAATTTAATCAAATAATTTACTAAAAACGCAATAATATATATAATTTCAAAAACAGATTTGTAATCAGCTGAATAAAAAAGTAAAAAGATATTTAATCGGAAACAAACGTGGGGTGCTTTTCAAGATACTATATTACTCGTAATACAATAACTTGCTTTTTACCAATTTCTGTCAATAAAATGTTTTTACAACAATTGAGGTCTACGTTTTTTATAAGATAAATGATTTTTTCTTTTGAAGTTGTAGAAAATTATTATTTTTCTACTTTTTAGTTCGGTTTGTTACAAAAGCGTGTTTTTTAGTTTTTTAATTATAAATTGATAGTTTTACATGCACTATGGTGTCTTTTTATCAGTTGAATCAAATTTGATCAACGTAAAATGTTTTGATAGATTTCTCACGACGGCAGACTGATTCGAATTTTGAGACTGACTCTCAATATAGTAATATGTTCTCCATAGATGTACCTTTAAAATATTAATATGAAAAATTTAGGCAGTATATAACTCATCAAAGTCAATGAAATCATTACAAGTAAAATATAAAATGCCTGCCTGGTTTATCACCTTTACGAACTGGATGCATTGTAAACATGCCAACAACAAAGCGCATTTGATTTATTGTCCGCGGTAGCGGCCACCGAGCGCCCGATCTCCTGTATTGTTGGTGAATAATTTGCGTTTAGATGAGGTTATTGTTATTGTTGTATGATGTTGGTATCAAAAGTACTTTAGACTAAAATGTTGTTAAAACAAATAGATATTTTATAATAACACTTTTATGCGTTACTGTGCCATTTTCTTAAATGAATTTTTATTTAAGGAAATGTGTTCGAATCGCCAGGGACATTTTCTAGAGTTGTCGATTCGCACAATAATAAATTTAGTTTGGACGAAACGACCACTAAAAAATATATTAATTTTATAAAGGATCGCTTCGCACAAAGTGTCCGTACAAATTTGTGCGAGTCGGCCACTAAGCCTAATTATCAGTCAGTGTTTTTTTTTGTAATTTTGTTTTAAATTTTGTTTTAATTCGACATAAATCTTTAAAAATGAAAAATATATTGACTTTAAGTAAATGATTTCTGGAGTTAATTCGTACAACCTTTTTTATTATCAAACGTATACAATAAAGAGTAATAATCAGTGTAATGTGATATGACATGATAGTATTAATTACGGTGTTACGAAACATACATACACACATTACATAAAGTTATAATAAAGGAATGAATGGCCTTAATCTGTTCTAATGACTGCTCGTAAAGATATGGCCTTGTTATTAAAGAGGCTGGAATACTCTTAACCATTTTTTTTACTCTAGAAAATTTTTGTACTCAGTTACTGAGTGCTATACGATTTGAATTAAGGGAATTCAATCTTGTTTATACGTAGCGATTATTTGGCGGGAATCTACCTTTCTCGTATGTAACTAATAATAATAACTATAACAAAAATTTAAATTTACACATCTCACACAAACAGTCTGATCCTAACAATGGAAGTTTTTACCATGAAAAGACCTGCTGGTATACATACTTTAGAAAGTATTTAAAAATCATCATTTTATCTCAAAAGCCTCTAAAAAATCCATGCTGGACTACCCCTCCTTAGAAAGGAGTTTTGGCCTATATACCAGGCTGGCCAAAAACGGGTTGGTTTTAGGGGGTTTTGTCAAGTTTTTCCTTCTCTTTTCAGTTTTGTTTGTCCCGCTCCCCAAAAACCCCTTCTTCAAAATTGCTTTACGTCCCAAGGGGTGAATGGGGGTGGTGACAATGCGTATTCTTAATCCTCACCCCCCCGGACAACAAACACAGAGGGAAAAATTATACCCAAACATAGAAGATCATACTCATCACGCAAAAATTTTTTCCCGGGGGGGAACGAAACCAGACTTCCGACCATCTGTCAGGGTTCCACGATAAAAGTTCGGTAACAATGGATAAAAAAAAATTTCACTAGCTAATACTATTTTTTTGTATCAAATTTTTTTGACTGATTTATTGGTTTCAATTTTGTTCAGTTTAGTTTTCATTTACTTTTATTTTTTTGATTTTACTTAGATTATTTAATTTAAAAAAATATGTCGCGCCGACAAAACAGTTCTGCATTGAAATTTTAAATATCTATTTTTGAAAAAATGTGTTGATTAAATAGAGGATCGTTTTTTTGTTTGCCGGTGCCCAATTTTTTTCTATAGGGACCACGATTTTGCACTTTATTATTTTTTTTGAATAAATATTTGTTTCCTACTTTAAAATCTGTCGAATATAGGTTTTTCTTATAGTGCGTGTAAAAAACCCCCTCGGGCATTTTACCCCACCGTATTTTTGGGGGGGACAGTGTGTCGGAAAAAAAAACCCCAAACTAAAACACACAGTGTGCAATACTGCTCCTAAAAATTTTAGTGCCCGTAACAGTTTTTATTAAATAACCAAAAACCTCCCCTGCAACTTCGGGCGAAAATATATAGCGGTCGCTTAGTTTTCACGAAGCTGAAACAATATATTCTGCACTTTATTTCTAGACGATTTGCAAATAGAACAAAAAAAATTAGGGGTTTTAAAAAAACAGGACACTTTTTTTTTTTGGGGAATTTTTGAAACATCATGTGTAATGCAGTAAAATACATTGACCTCAGGCAGGATCAGCTGTTTTTACGCGGCGCGGTAATCACACGTTGCCGCTTTACTAACTCGAATCGAAAAAAATAGTTGTTTATTGCGTCATCACGATGAAGGACACGCTTTTTTTAATTTAACACCCCGGAACAGGACAGTAGTGGCCCTTGGCCCCCGGGCGAGTGTTATGCTATTCGTATCCTTGTAGATACGCTCACGCAAATAATGTAATAATAATATTGCTTTGTTCATGAAAAAATAGAGGTTTCTGTTGTAGGTTTAAAAATGAGTAAATTTTATTATTTTTTTTCATTTTATGGGTTATGGGGTTCAACATCCATAATCCCGTAAGTGACCTTACAGCCGCGGAATTTCCCTGATGATGTTAATTTAGGGGGAAACTCTATCAAAACGCATCTTTTGCTTTACGGAAGGTAGGATCAATCGGTAGGGTCCTAAAAACGCCGAATTTTTGTAAGGGTGGACAAAGACACGAGAAAACCAAAATCCCTACTTTTTAAAGGATGACCGTATACCGGGGTCCAACTGGGCGACTTTCCCAAAATAAACACGTGAATAAAATCTTATTCTTAATAAATAGATTTAAAAAGCAAGTGAAGTGATTAGTAGGTAGGTAAATAATAATAATAATAATAACGCCATCTAGTCCCAAACTAAGCAGAGCTTGTACTATGGGTACTAGACAACTGATATAAATACATATATATATATATATATTTGTAAATACATACACATTATACATAGAAACACCCAGACCAAATCAAACATAGAATGTTCATGCACACAAATGTTTGACTTGAGCGGGAATCGAATTAGATTGTATAGTTCGCCGGCTCGTCGCGGCGGCGGCGGCGACGTCGCTTTGATGTCGCCGACATTGTGACGCTGCCGTGTACAGTTCACCGACTTATGTTATCGATGGTGTTCTAATTCGGAATTATTTTTTTTAGTTTTGTTCTAAATTTGCATTTCTGTATTTTCGTACTAATTTTTTGAACCGTATTATCTGTTATTTCAATTTTTGTGATATGTATAATAACACCCTTGCATATTATATATGTATGTATGTATATATTATATATATAGGTATAATAAATAGTAAGATATCAATTGAATGTTTTCCTGTCATAAACCTAGTCTTTGGTTATTGATCGATTGTAATGCGTAGTAGTATTACATAGGTACTTTTATTACTTTAGATCATAATTATAGAACACCAATAACAAAGGGAAAACCATCAGGTGTGCTATAGATACAGAATTGGTCATAATGTGTTTCACTTTTTAATTAGACAGTATTTTTAAGTGGCATTTTAAACACTTATATAGAACAGCCCCACGTAAAAATATATATACATAATTACTTTGAACAGGTCACAGTTTACTAGGTAACTTAAAAATTTACTGACAACAATAAGAGTACCACAGTTTTTTATTTGCCTCCAAACAACATGAATTGAGTCTTTCGAGATTAACCGATTACAGTCACTTCAGTGCTGATGGAGGTATTAGGGAAACGAAGACAGAGTGATGTTACCAACAGTACTAACGATACCTTTAATAATGAGTCAGCAAGAAAAATCGATAGCGCGCACACAGTTGCCGAACGTCAATCGAATACAGTTTAAATGTGCTATTTCTCACATACATTGCACCGTATTGCATGCATTTTATCTATTCTAATATTATAAAGAGAAATAATTGATATTGAACGAAGTTCCTTATCGCTCGTTGTGAAAGGGAGCTAGACGGAAAAAAATCCCACGAAAAGTTGTAACGACACTTTTTATGTCAGTCATTCAGCGCCCATCTATCGAATAGATAGGAAATCATTTCTCAATTAGATTTTACCAATGTATAAATTGTTTTAATTAGAAACCAACTGAAAAAATATGTAGGTAATAGCCGCTTTCATAGATGGCGTTGTAATTAAAATCGTGTCGAATCAGTTTTACTCGATTGTCACAACTTCGTTCATATCGGGTGTCCCACGACACCACACGGCTCTTTTTGTTACTGGAACGATTTAAAAAAATCTTTCACCTATAGAAAATCTATATTATCTGCGAGTAACATATGCTATATCTTATTCAAAATACGGCGCTAGGAAAATATTAATAAATATCATAGTTTAGCTATTAATAACCATTTTTCGTTGAATTAGTCAACTAAAATATAGATTAAAACTATGTACTTCTATCAGTATCATGATATTAGTCCTTATCTAAATAAACCAATTAGTAATTTGGGCTATATATTGCTAATTGAAAATCGTAATATTGCAAACCGCCTACGAAACAATGCATGTACAAGTATCTTTACATAGTATACCGTCCTCTGTACGCATAGATCTTTCAAACTACTAAAAGGATTTTGTTTTGCTTCTCATCAACAGAGAAAGTCATTCAAGAGGAAAGTTTATATGTATAACTAAACACATTATAGTAGAAGAAAGCCTAGAATTGCCATGATTTGTAATACGATGTAGTGAAAATAATTATTTTGTACGCTAACATTGCCAAACGCTGGCTAAACCTTAAGAGATAGATAAAAATAATGAAATACTGAAACCGTATAACAAATAATGTGGAAAACAATATATTTTTGGGTTCAAATTTAACATCTTACTACCTATCTAAATAAAAGTAACGGACCTGATTAAACTAAATTTAATATAATCTAACATTGTAAAGTTTGGTAATAGACGGTTGCCATTTAAGAAAGTACATTTAAAAACTCCTGGCAAATATCATCCGGCCAGTAATAATATATACAAACAGCCTTACTGAAGAAAGGTCTTTGATATGTGCTTTTAAACGCGCACTAAGTACGAAATTGCCGAGTACGAAATTACCTTCAAATCGAGCCGTCACTCTAGACAGTAAATATTTTTAATCTTCATGGTTTATTTAGTGAAAACTTGTTAATTATTGTAAATTCAAGAATACGTCTTAGCAATGTATCAGAATATTCAACCTTAACTTAGTCTGTATGTGACGCGACGGTTTATGTAAAATTGTAATCGTATAAATACGGCTTTCTGTGTACTTATCTCTTAGTTAAAAATGTTGGTTATAAATAATTGACTATTTAAAAAAAAATCGCCGACTTCAATGATGAATCGTAATAAACGGTATACAAAAAATCATTTTTAAACTCAGTTCATAACTATGACCGCATAACTCTTCTACCCAGAAAGGAACAAAAAATACAAGCCAATTGAGAACCTCCGCCCTTGTTGAGTGTCTTACAGTACTAGGGGAATGATCTTTTGCCCTACGCTCTAACAAAACACTAATTTCATGAAATTGTCTGTATAGGGTTTTCCTTAAACTATAAACTGAATTCCCTTTGTCCGTTCGATTCTTCTTTTCTTTATGTATAGGAACGTGTATATATATAGTGTATATATAGTACTTAACAATATAAAACTGATACAGGTAAGCTTACAGGTTCGTCCACTTAGAAGTAGCTTTCAAAGTATTTGTGGTGGAAGGACTACGAGTATAGCTGTATCCTTGGCGCAGTGTATACAAATTTACATGAAGGTAGGATAACCGTTTAGGCAGCGTATAAAATACAATGAAATTAATATATTTTATTTTGTTTTATACATAGACTAGCTGAGACCCGCGGTGTCATTGTCAAAATGATTTTTTTTATATGTACCGTGTAAACATACAAATGCATTTAGTAAAAAGCGGTTATTTTAATATTACAAACAGACACTCCAATTTTATTTATTTGTATAGATAAAAAATGTTATTTTGGCATATGTACCGGTGTAAACATACATATGCATTTAGTAAAAAGCGGTTATTTTAATATTACAAACAGACACTCCAATTTTATTTATTTGTATAGATATATTTCTTAGCGTTCCATGGATTTACCGTACAGGTGCCGGATCCATCGGTCCGGATACTCGATGGACTTTGATGGGTGGCACACATGCTATTTCGACAGTGCCTGGGAATTGCGACCCAGGAGTTTTAGGGAGTTACTCCTTATACGAGCTACTTTTATACGAGCCTAGCATTTGGATATTCGTTCAAGAAAAGAGCTTACTGAAGCTCTTGGCAATCCCTTTATAGTCTTTGAGCAGGCTATAAAGGGATTTATTAAAGGTTGTATACCCCTCGCACCCACTTTCTTATATTATACTAACCAACTTACATTATTATGAACGTAAAGTAAGTTTGTTGGTTATACTTTCACGCCTAAACCATTTAACCGATTATAAAAATTCAAATAATAAAATATAAAAATCAACAATGAAAAGCTACATTATCAGTGAGGAGTAACATAGCCTACTTTTTACCGCGAAAACCAAGATACACGCGGCGGCGCCGCTTGGCAAAAGCTGGTATATAATATTATATAATACTTAAGGTCGCCGCTGACCGCTTAAGGCCGTATACGTGTTTGTCAACTTATATACATATAGAAAACAAAACTGAACTTTGATGATAAACTCTAACAAGAGTCCAGTAACAACAAAAAAAATTACTAATGTAATATTTTTTCCTCTTTTACAGTAAAGCAAAGAAAAATGAGGAGAAAGTAATCGTACTTTAGTATTGTAAGTATCTTTTGGTAGTCTCATGCAAGTTTTATTATTGAACGCGCGGTAATAATCGTAGCAAATTCAATAACGATCAATAACATAACTCCTTGTGTTATTTGTATAATCAAGAAATAGAGTACCAGTTTTTTTTAAGTATAGCCTAAAAATTTGCACATAATAAAACATAGTAAATGAAATTTAAATATTAGTCATTTATTTAAACGAATATATTTTGATTAAAAAATTAACTATTAAGGTACCTAGTCCTTTAGATCGGTTGATCTTTAATTTGAAAATGCTTACTGGGACAAGCTCATTACTGCGAAATTGTCATAGTTACTTGTATTTTTGTAGTGCACCATTTAACATATTTTAGTTTCGAATACGGGACAAAGCTGGAGGTAATGGCGACATGCCTTGGAGTAATTTTAAGGAATGCTCAGCGGATGGTGCATCACGGTGAATCTCATACAATTAGGGGAACTCAGCACTGCATTTGTAGAACGAACCCATCCACCGACCGACAGCTATAGTACTTACTTACCCGGTGTTATCAGCATTTGGTGGCGGCAGAAGGCTGTAAGTATGAAATTGGTTACATGTTGGACTATAAAATCATATTAAGCATAATTAAGTTCTTGTGATTTATGATGCTAAGTTCGGTATTGGGTTCAGAGCTCCGCAGTTTAAAGTAATTCGGTGCATGATTATACATATTTATTGTTATTTACTGACGGTTGATTCTATATGTATTATATACACAGTGTGTATTTATAAACCAAATTTATAAGCAATGCTTTGAATGTTTATGGAATTGCTTCTTCAAATATCTCTTCAATACTTTTTTTGGTTGACGGGCTGGAAAAATCCCTTCAAATCTCGGCTCCTCGACGACGCAGGAGCTATATATAACTATATAATCAAATCCACCCAAATGACGAGTCATCCGATAATCATTTCACTGGCACTATATAGATACTAGACAAATTTTGATTTATTTTGAATCGTATAGGGATCCTTTGTTATGCAAAGACACCTATCGTAATGGTTTAAAATGTCGAAGTATGAACAATAAGTTGATTGTAGAAATATAATTTACTGTTTTTTGTATGGTTTTGATTCAGTTTCAACGCCACACGTGAGGAGAATATGGAGGCTTTGGTAGAAGATGCTGTAGCCCTGGCCATATCTACATTTGTGACTGCAGGCATAGCTATGCTGTTGACTACACTAGGCGTTGGGCTTATTAACTGGAGTGCTCTAAGACAGGTCATTATTTTACTCACTGATGATAAATAATCATATACTCCTAGTAATTCCTATAACCGCTACATAACTTTTAAATTCGACTGCCATATACCATGCTCATTTCATTTTTTAAGAATTGTCCATGGAAATGTATTACATCTGAATCTTGATTTTATTGACTCACAAGGTTTGTTAAAAATTGTCAAATTTGACATGTATTAAGCATAACTGGATCCGTTTTAACTGGTATATTCTAATTTCTACTATATTATTACATCGCATAAAAAGAGACGTTTATTGAATTTTTTCAGATTACAACAATTCGACAATTATTCCTGAAAGCTGTCCTACGTCAGGATATGTCTTGGTTTGATACAGATACTGAATTTAATCTAGCGTCTAAGATGTCAGAGTAAGTAGTTTTTTGAACAATTGCTTATATTTAATAGTAAATATCTATGAAAATGTAAAAACAACAATGAAATCGAAATATACATTTTTAAAGCTATTACTATACTAGGTAATACTTGAGAACCAATTTTGCACATCTTTTTGTGACTCCTGAGTTGCGGACATTCATGTTCATCGTTCATAGTCATTTTCTATCAGGTGACCCGTCTGCTCGTTCTGTCCCCTCTAACATTAGAAAAGCCTTGTTTCTTCTTCTTTTAAGGCTTTTAGGCTAGTCAAAGCTTAAATTTTTAATTTGCAATAAAACTAAAAAAACCTTCATTTAAAAACTGTTGTGTGATGACGTCGATGATGACGACTGCTTTTTATCACACTCTGTTACCTAATAGTAATTTCATAAAAATGACTTGATTGTCATAAATAGCCAACGTATTCCCAGATCCATGTCACTTATTGTTTAAGGAAAAAAAAATGTACTACTTAGTTATTAGAGTCTAGACTTAGCTACTTTAAGTTCTGTATATGTTCAGTTGGCCCTTTTACTCGTCAGGAACTTAGCGAAGTTAAAGGAGGGGAATGGGCGAAAAACTAGGAGCCGTTTCAAACTCGCTGGGAACAGCTGTGCTATGTTTTTGGTTTTTCCCTACCTTTGGGTTGGGAATTGGCTCTTGCTTGTGCAACCGTTATGCCTTTCTCCATTGCAGCGGCAGTCGCATTGTCGAATGTAAGTGTAAATGGTACTTTTAACTGTAAGTATGAAATTCTGTAGCTGTTAATTGTGCCTTAAGAGAACGTCAGCTTTGTAGTTAAAAAGTAAAAGTTTTGTAGTAAAGTTAACTTCGGTGGTAAACATTAGTCAATAAAACTCCTATATCCATTGAACCTTTACGATCAACTCCGCATCCGCATAATTGTTATGAAATATCTTAGAGATTCAATCTCGGCACTTAGTCACCTTATAAGCAATGGACTAAGGAGAACCTACTTAATGACTTTATTAATTTATTAGTATAATACTTTTTTAATTTATAAATATAAATTATTGATATTGCTACAATTATGGCATAGCTTTAAAAATCCTACTGTACTAAATGTACTACTGATCTGAAAAATTTATAACCATTACTATTTTCATCCACCAATTACCTTAATATTTAAATTCAACATTCTATTCATCTTATACACATACCCGTAAATAGTATAAAAAGGTAAATAAAATGAGATCAAATTCATAGTCTGGTGTTTTTCTCATCATACATCACGAGGGGCAAGACAAATAAAGATACGACTGGATGGCGTAGTGGTTTGTGTAACGGACTGCTATTCCAAAGGTCGCGGGTTCGATTCCCGCTCAAGTCAAACATTTGTGTGCATGAAACATTTGATGTTTGATTTGGTCTGGATGTTTCTATGTATAATATGTATGTATTACAAAAAAAAAGTATATATGTATTTATATCAGTTGTCTAGTACCCATATTACAAGCTCTGCTTAGTTTGGGACTGGATGGCGTTGTGTGATGTGGTAGAATATTATTATTATTATATTATTATACGGCCTACAGTGCGAGACAGGGCAGTACTTAAGGCTAAGAATTCCCGGGGGTCCGATGAGAGTCTCAACTTAGAATATGCAAAGCATGTTATGATGAAGTAAATGTATCAATCTACAAAAAAGGACTGTATTTAAATCATAATACTAATAATAATAGCCCATGTCGGTAATAAATGCAAGTAATAATGAAAACTAGAGACCATGTACACCAAATTCGGTCTGATTCCAAACGGGACAAAGCCTGTACTATGGTAACCAGACTACTTATTACAACTACATAGACATATAGACAATTTACCTAATTGGAAACAGGTATACATCTAGGCACCGACTTCAAACTGACTAGAAGGTATCTATTGCTATTATAATGTTACCTGTTATATTGAGGGTCGCACTTATTTCAGTTATTTAATTATTATTTTTAAATTTTTAGTGCTCCCTTGTTAGTATTGGAACGAAGTATAAAAATACTTTAACATTTGTGACACCTACATGATTTATCCTTCGTAAGAATGAGATCAATTAGAAACCAGAATATTATTGTTGTAAAGAAAATTAATTTAAACCATATCATTATATTATTAGACAGTACGAGTATAAGAGTTGGTTGTTCGCTTACAAGCCTTTAAATATCTATTCCAAAAAGAAATTGCGTATTAAGTAAACAGATGTTGATTGATTATTATGATTTAAAAAAAGAGATGAATTTAGGCATATACTAAATACATGAATGATATTAAGCCTTTGTATTTTTACGTCTGAATAAACTAAACTTCTTAAGACTTAACAGTAGTTTTATATATAATGCGCCCGATTTGGCTCCTTAATCTTACCGTTTGAACACTAAGTTTATCATTTAATGAGATTAAGGCAATAAACACAAGTGTTGGTAATACTTCAACTGCGTTTCTGCTTACCAAGTCCTTCTTCGTATAACAGTAATGTAACACTTTAAGTGTTATGTTTTAGTATCAGACTAAATCGGCTACTCGTGAGATGGAGTCGTACAGTCAAGCAGGCAAACACGCGGAGGAAATTTTGAAATCTGTTAGGACTGTGGCTGCATTCGGAGGCGAAGCTAAAGAAGTCGAAAGGTAAAAACCACATTTAAAGCATTTATCAAAATTAGAATAGACAGATATAAAAATTTAAACGGACAAGAGACCAAAAAGAATATATCCAAAAAAAAATAAAAAAAATGATGATGATTCTCGGCGGTAAAACAGAGGGGTATTTAGGCCAAAGGCACGTGCCCAGGACGTCGGGACGCATTTCTTTGTTAAATCTTTTCATTAAAAAAAATCATGTGTTAGTTTCATACATCGATCATACAGGCAAAAAAAACATATCTCCGTCCGTTTCTACTGGCTTAAGTGTTATGTATGTTTTGTACATACACTTTACAATTCTAACCCCAAACAAAGCGTCTTAGCACAGCATACCATAGAAAATATGTCCAAACCTTATTTAAAAAAACCAAAAAAGATGTTTTTCCTTATAGAAAGTAATTTTTCTTTACTGTAGATTTTTAGTTTTGCTGACCTGTTTGTTTTTGTAAGATTTTCGTAAAACAACAACTTTTTTTTTTTGGTTGCTAAAAGCTGAAAGAAAAAATAAAAAATGAAATTACTTTTTTTTAAAAGCAGTAAATTTTAAAAAGGGGAACAGAAACAAATTATTTTTTAATTAATAAAAAGGGAATATTGTATGAATTTTAAATATATGAATAAATCAACATGAAGAATAACTGTGAAAAAAATTAAAAAAATGAAAATGTACATTTTATTTACTATTTTTTTCCGCCTAAAATCCCTGTTTTTTTTTTTAAATAATATAAAAAACGAATTGGTTTGTGTAATTTTTTAAAACCCTTTGGGAAAGGCCCGATGGTCTGTCGTTAGCGAATGAAATTTTAAACCACTATTTAAAATGATCTTTTTGTTTTAAAAATTACGATATTCTTTTTTGTTACAACCTGCGGAAAAATAGGGTCGAAAGCGAGGTTGTTTTGGACTTGGAAAGGGTTTTTAAAACGGGATCCAAAACTTTTTTTCTAAATCCCTTTGGGCCTTACTTAGGTTCGGTTGGGCTCCGAAAATTTTAAACCTGCTGAGGAACAGAGATATTTAGGGAAATTTTTTTAGCGTAAGTTCGATTTATTTAGTCTTGTCTCTAAAAACACACAACACCCTTAACAGTCCCCTGCTGGAAAAGGGCCTCTCCTTAAAGTGGGGGTTTTTGGCTACATACCACGCGGGCCAAACGGGTTGGATAGGGTTTTTTTTTCAATTTTTCCTCCTATTGCAGTACTGTTGTTTTGAACAGTTTGCTCCCTTACTCAGCTCTTACGACACCCAGGCGATGAATAGGGGTGGATAGGGGTGGTGGTGGTGGTGGTGACACTCTGTATTCTTAATCCGTCATGCGCTTTGTCATGATAAGTCAAATGTGGTTTTAGTTAAATTACGCTTCAATTAGTTATACAGACTCTTGCCGACGACATACCGACATTGAAATGGGAAAGCAGCGTGAAACCAATGGATATCTTGTTTTGAGAATTGGTGACAATATTTATCTTCAGATAAAATGATGCTGGTTGGTTTTAGGTTTTATTCAGTGTTTTCATGGCAACGCAATCGCTTACATTGTGTATACCACACATAGAAGTATTTGCAGCGGCCCGCGGTGCTGCAGCCAGCATATTTCAATTACTTGACAGAATACCGAAAATAGACAGTTTCGCTAACGACGGGCATGTCTCCACGGAGGGATTTGGGAGATATTGCTTTAGAAAATGTTTTACTTTAGTTATCCTTCACGCCCGGATATCAAGGTAAGGGGTTATACATATAGATAATAATATTGAACTAAAAAATAATAATGTGATTATTAAGAACATAAATTGAGGTACTTTATTAATTTACAACTTCTAAATTTATATGTACATACATAAATCATACACATTTTGTCAAATGTTATCAATGACAAAGCTCCTTCTCAACTAGAGTATTTATAACACGCAATAACATATTATTTTAAAAAAGAAATGTTATAGGGGGCATATGAACAGACGGGTCTACTGATAGAAAGTGCGTACCGCTGCCATGGACATGGACATCGTAACTCGAAGATTCACAAGTATGTTGCCGCCCTTTCAGTCCCTCCCGTCAGAAGAGGAAGGCCAGGGTTTGGGCTCCGGTAACCTCACTCCGTCAAAGGCAATGAAAGAAACGCTTAACACCAATTTACGCACGGCTCTCCCACGATAATGTTTAACTGTAAATGATAATAAATATTTATATAGATAATTTTTACTCACCTAAACAATTTTTTGTACAGATATTGAATGACTTTTCAATTCACATTAAACGAGGAGAATGCGTGGCTCTCGTGGGCTCTTCTGGATGCGGCAAATCTACAATACTCCAACTGTTACAAAGACTCTATGAACCGTCATCGGGATCTGTGAAACTTGACGGAAAAAGATGTGAAAGACCTTAATTTAAATGGCTGAGATCATCTTTAGGTTATTTTCAACTTAAAAATTATCTTGAAGAATAGTGAAAACCGTTATCCTGTTTTTTATTTATAAATCGTGTTGTAGGTGTCGTAGGTCAGGAACCCGTACTATTTCGAGGCACCATTTTTGAAAATATAGCTATTGGTTGTCCAGAGGCAACACTGGCAGATGTTCAAAGAGTTGCAATTATGTCGTATGCCCATGAATTTATCACAAATCTCCCGAAGGTTTGTATTATATCTCACTCTGTCATTTTATTTGCATTTTACATCAGATTTTCTCCCATTAATAAACCCGTAACGTAGTTATGATGATGATGATGATGTGGTTATCTGACAAAGTAGTTGCCGATGCAACTCACAAAAATAATATTATTGGAGTAACTATGGGTTGACCACATATTCTGCCGATCCGATGGCCGTTGGAATAAATAGGTCCTAGAGAGGAGATCGAAAATCGGTAAAGGTAAGATGCCACCCACACCGAACAAGCTACCGAGAATATTATTAGGCGGAAGGTGGAGGACCGTATTGAGAGAGACATATCCAGCAATAGACGCCAGTAATTGACTAATTTATTAATTACTGCAGTGACAGGCAGTATTCATTAAATTAATTCCTGTTGGCGAAACTATTTTAGGGTTATAATACAGTTATTGGAGAGCGCGGTGCATCGCTTTCTGGAGGTCAAAAACAGCGCATTGCGATTGCACGGTCGTTGCTCCGTGACCCGGCAGTACTTCTTCTAGATGAAGCTACATCTGCACTTGATCCTCACTCGGAGCGACAAGTACAGGCTGCGCTTGACCGCGCCAGCGCCGGCCGGACTACTATCATGGTATCTCACAGGTAGTAGTAACAGCTAACTTCAAGAGACTTAGAAGTATCAAGAATATATATTTGATATGCCAACAAAACTTTTTGGTTTTTCAGATTGGCGACAATAGTCAACGCGAAGCGTATTATTTGCATGGACAAAGGCACAATCGTAGAACAAGGTTCTCATGAAGAGCTAATAAAAAATAAAGGTAAGAATTTTTGATCTCCTATGCTTAGATGAGATTTAGAAATATTATAAGAACGCATGTGTGATACCTTTGACGTGACGTGATCTGCAATAGTGTTGAACAAATGTCAAAATATTTCAGGTTTCTATTATAAACTTGTGACAGTAAATAATCCTCAAGAAAAAAACAAAATCCATAGAAGATATCACACCATTACCAGAAGAAGCTGAAACTGAAGAAGATGGTACTGATACAGCAACTGAAAATAGTAAACCGCGAACTGATGATGCCAATAGCGATATAAGGAAACATGAACATCGTAAAAGAATTCAAAAACAAAATTCAGTAATAGGTTAAGTCGATTTCAAAAATAGGAATAGTGTAACTGAAAACAGTATATGAGTACCAGCTTAAAACAACTACTTCACGTTTTGCCACGAATAACGTCTGAAAAAATTAAGTAATATGTATAGCCATCGACTGTTATGCAAAGAAAGTGTTAATTAATTAATTAGATCGTAATAATAAAAGTTGAAGTTACGTACCATAACTAAGATGTACTTACAAAGTTTCAGTGAGAAAAACGACTCTTAAAATAGCATTACCCGGTTTGCATCAATATAAAAGAAATATTTGCAAAAAAATCGTACACACTATATTCTTCTATTTATTCGTTCGGGTTTACTTAATATACTGAAGGACTACATAAAGATTATATATTCCCTGCAACTTTAAAATACAATGAATTAAATAGATAAGTACTCTTTATTGCACACCATGAATAGAAAACATACGGTATGGAATACAAAAAAAAACAGTAATACAATACAATCAGCAGCCTTTTCGCGGTCTCCGATCTCTTGCAGGCAAAATTTAGTGCACATTACGATATATGTTAATAAATCACATTATGCGATTATTTTTAAGTGCATAACAGTATATGATGTGAGTTAAGAATTACAAATTACAAAATTTTAAACATATTGCCTTATTTGCTATAGACAATCAACACTGGATGACTCCTCGAGGTTCTATCTCTTCGGTGGTCTCAGTTGGCTATCAAAGTTTTATGTTAAATGCGGATGCCGAAAACAAAGAAAATATTGAAGTAAGTAATCGATTTCAAATACTAGCAGGTTTAAGAACAGGTCCTTTAAATGAAATTCATACTTTTTATTACTTTACTATTCTCAATTGGTCATTCCCGAACCTCGGCTGGTTCATATAAATCTTACTTTAACAACTACAAAGTAAAGATAACTTGATTGATGTCTTGATCATTGTAAATTGAACCGATTAATTTTTTAGCTTTCTACATTCTTCTACATACAGAAATTAAATATTCGAAATATAAAATGCATGGCAAAGGGTACAAAGAATTTTCTCATGAGTTAGATATTCCAATTTTTTCTATTCTTTTAGGAACAGGTTGATGTAACCGGATGCCAGATATTAAAACTAAATTCACCTGAGTGGATTTACATCACTATTGGATCTATTGCAGCATTTGCTCAAGGAGCTTGCTTTCCAGTATTTTCTTTACTTTTTGGTTACACAAGCGCGGTAAGACTTTATAGTCCTCTACTTTTTTCCTTTTTAAAAAATCGAGACCTACTCAGGACATCATGTTTTGTTCAAAAGAAACTGCTGTTCCTTGCTGTGAACTATGAATTGAAATAAAATTTATTTTTTTGTAATAGTTGTATATTTATGGACAATCCTAATACATAGATATATCTTTATAGTAATTCTTATGATTATCTGTATTTCAAAAATTTATATTATAATAAACGCGTAGTATATTGTGTGAAGTTAATATGAACCATATTCTGAATGGCTAGCGGACGTGTTTACAATGACTGCGATGAAAATTCCATAGTTGACGCGCGTGGTGAAACTGACCATACATATTGTTTAGAGGAGAACATGGAGATAAATGAAGAACTAACAAATAAGCGGTTAAGAATCGAGAATAGTGAAAAAGGTTGGCAGACGGTTGCGAAGAAAAGAAAATCTATAGATCTATCCAGCACTCAATCGGTAGAAACTATGTGGCAGATATGCGTATATTCTAAAGAAAAACTACCTAAGCACTACTAAACGAAAATAAAATAACTGGAGTCACAAGAGTTAAATATGTTAACCCTTATAAGGTATCATTCACTTTTGATAAGGAAATTAACGCCGAGAAGTTTACATCTTGTACCGCTTTAAGTGAACTTGGTTGGCGCCGACAAAAAACTTGGGTAGTTGACTAATGCTATGGAATCATCAAAGATATAGATGTGGAACTATCAGAGGCGGAGCTCATAAAATGTATTCAGGCTGATAAAGACCTTGTGACCGCTAGGCGGATGAATAGGAGAACAGAGGAAGGGTGGACTCCGAGTGAAACCGTGAGAATTGGTTTTAAGGGTAATTCTTTAACAAGTCATATTTATTTAATGGACCTACGAATTGCTGTCTCTTCGTTTGTGTTCCCTGTGACACAATGCTCACGATGCTGGAGGTTCGGTCATACATCGAAGATGTGCCCCTCTAACAAGCCTCTCTGCGCGAAATATGGCAAAAATGATCACGCAAACTGTGATATAACATATTCCTAAGTAATGTAATACCCGATATGTCTATTTTAAAAATTATATTTACGTCAGTTAATGGATAACGCTTCCAATACATTAAATAAATTGAACATAATACAATGGAATGCCCGAAGTATTAAGTCCCAAACTAAAGTCATTCGAACAGTTATTAATCCAAAAACACATCCATATTGCGGTGGTAAGTGAAACACGGCTTGCACCAGATACCCATGTAAATATCAATAATTACTATATTTTCATCTAGGGATAGGGATGGATATGGTGGTGTGGCAGTTATAGAGCATAAATCAGTTCAAACACAACGGGTTGAAATAAATAGAACTAATTCTGCTTTCGAATTAATTCATATAAAATTATTTAATTGCAATCAATAAGAACATTTAATTGCCATCTACTGTGCTCCGGAATCGTCGACAAATTCTCAGGCGTGGGACTATTTGTTTTCTATGGCAAATAGAAAGTTGCTTATATTAGGCGATTTAATGGGCACCATTCAAACTGGTCTTAAAAAACAGATACGAGGGGAAACCAAATCTTAGATTCAATATTAGACTATAATTATATGATATTAAATTATGGTAGCCCAACACGTTTTCAACTTGTAAACAACGTATATAGAAAATATTTTCCTGACTTATCTATAGCGTCCTCTAATATCTCTTTGCGTTTTGATTGGATGGTATCAAATGAAACGTTGGGAAGCGATCACATTATTACTAAAATATCTACTTCATTTTACTCAAATGAGCAGTATCAAAAAAGAAGAAACTTCAAAAGGGCTAACTGGACAGACTATGAGAGTTACCTTGATGAAATATTTAATACTTATGATACACTCTTTATAATCCTCAAGTAGCTCATAATTCGTTCTTAAATGTTTTATACGATGCCGCCGAGAAGTGCATCCCTAGTATAAAATTTAGTACCAACCCTACAAGTAATTTTCGGCCTAAACCATATTGGAACCCCGAATTATCCAAGTCAGTGGCAGAGAGGCGACTAGCACTAGCTAACTTTCGACGTAACCCCACCCCAGCAAATTTGATTGCGCTAAAAAGAAAAATAAGTTAGTCACGGAGGATGCTTAGACAGACCCAAAGACAGTCTTGGCATCAATTTTGTAGTTCCATAGACGCAACAACCTCAGTGAGCGGACTATGGAATAAAATTAGGTGGATTAAAGGTTACAAAACAACGCCTTCTTCTATATAGCCTAACCCCTAAACCTATATTCTCTTCTCAAAATTCGGCTCTAGCTATTGAAATCACATTGCAGGAATTAAATCAAAGTAAACAGAAGACACTGCACTTTTTTTTTCGTGCGGAATCCCCTCGGATACCACCTATCGGCGGCATGTCGGACTTGAACCGACTAAAACCGCACGCCGTCTCGGGTACTAATAGCCGGAGAACCAGGTATACCCTAGAAAGGAAGTCCCTGGTGCCCCGACATACCTCGGGCCATCTACAGACGAGTAGACGACCTCAACCCACGCCGGGCACTCCGCCAGCGTGTGGAGAGCCGTGTCCACGGTCTGGCCATCGCAGTGGTGGCACTCAGGCGTTGGCTCCTTGCGGATCAGACACAGGTGATCCCCGAAACATCCTTTCCCAGTGATCACCTGCGTCAGTCGGTATGAGAGGGTCCCGTGACGCCTCTCGAGCCAATCCTCCATAACGGGTCGTACCGCCGCGATGACGGCGTGCCCGGCGCTCGGTTGGCCGAGTCGTTCCCTCCACTATGATGACCTGGCGGAGTTGGGATTTCCGGTCATCGATTTCTCGAACCTCGGGATACCTCTAAACGCTAAATTGGTTCTATTGAAACTGTATAACTCTTTTCTTTCGACGGATTCAGTTCCTACTCAATGGCGAGATATTAGTGTTATACCTATCTCTAAACCTGGGAGGGACACCCACTCCTCATCGGCACTGAGACCGATTTCGCTTATATCATGTTTGTGCAAAATTTTTCGTGCAATTATACAGAAACGACTAGAGTGGTATTTAGAACAAAATTTTATGTTTTCTAACGACAGGTTAGGTTTCAGAAAATGCAGGTGTTCTCTAGATAACTTAAGTCATTTAGTAACAAGAATTCAAACAGGTTTCTGTAAAAATTGTATAACAATCTGATGTTTCATTGATATAGATAACGCACATAACAACACAAATATCATTTTCTTTTTTATATAAATTGGATATGTTAGGGGTGGGCCATAAAATATGTAGTTACCTTTTTGAATTTAGAGTTTTGTAATAAATGGTGTCAGTTTACAAACAAGATAACACCGATTCCATACACATCTTACAATATGCAGATGATTTCGTTATTTATTGTACACATAAAAACATATTTAACGCCACTGAACAGTTACAAACTTCTTTGGAGAATATCGTAGGCAGTTTATCTGAGCTTGGTCTAGAGATTTCGCCCTCTAAGAGTAAAATATGCGTCTTTAAAAAAGGCTGTAATAGACAAAATATTTCCATAAAATTGAATATTACAAGCATACAAGTAGTAGATAGTGTAAAATATTTAGGTTTGTGGCTAGATCGATCTCTCAGATGGGCTAAACACATAAGAGAAATTAATGAAAAAGTATCTAAATTTCTCAGTATCCTTAAGTTTGTGGCGGGGATAAGTTGGGGTATACATCCGAATCATTTAAGAAAAATGTATATTTCTGTCCTAAGAAGTCATTTAGAATACATTAGCTTTTTATACGGTGACAGTAGTGAAACACATCTATGCAAATTAGAAAAAACTCAAAATCAGGCTATGCGAATTATCGGTGGGTTTTTCAAAACGACACCTATCCATGTGAGCAGTGAACTAGCGATACAGCCGTTACATAGATGCTACTTAGCCGGTAAATTTTTACTACAATTCAAATTTTTATTAACGAATCGTAAAATAATTAACTACTTAGAGGATTTAGCCAACTATAGCGAAAAATAAACTATTTTCAATAATAATGTACGAACAATTGAGAGAAGTGCAAGTTCATTGTAGCCAAAATTTAGAGATGTTTGAGAGCCGGGTGTGGCTATATACATATTTCCAAAAATCTAAAAGATAATATAGATTACATAAACAAGCCTAAACAGCAATACGGGACATCCGTTTTGAGACATTTGTGTTTTAATTATATGGATACTCGGTTTCCGAATTATTAACAGATATTTACTGATGGATCGAAAGAAAAAGGTGGTGCGGGGGCGGCGCTCTTCGATCTTCAGCAAAATACATTCGCTCGGTATAGAATTAGGGTAAAAATGTCGATCATGTATATTGAACTAATAGCTATTAGTAAATCGTTATCTTACATTCATTCTATTGACCATGACAAGTTCGTTATTTTTACTGACGCTAAAAGTGCCCTCCTACATGTAGCTCGGTGTACCTCGACAATTCCAGAAACACCGATAGCATACACAATTATCAATCAAATTTTTGAGTTAGAACGAAGCGGTAAAACAGTACACCTTCAGTGGATTCCATCTCACATAGGCATAGCTGGAAACGAAATGGTTGACACACTTGCAAATCAGGCTTGTTCTGAAGGCTTGTTCTTGTTTTCAATTCTGCCTTACTTTTCAGACTGCCTATATCTCGTAAAAGAATACTGTTTTAAATCCTTGAAAGAATATTTCGATAAAAGATCAATCGAAAAGAGTATCTGGTATAAAATTATACAACCTGAACCGCTGGCTATCCCTTGGATTGATAACTGTTCTTTGAGAAGACATAAATTGATAACGGCTATGAGCTTACGCTCTGGACACATCCCATCCAGACAGTTCACCTTTTTAATGGGTTTATCATCTACGCCAGATTGTGAAATCTGTGGTGTGGTAGAGGACGTAGAACATGTTTTGATGGAATGTGTTCGGAACTAACAACTGAGAGAACGCCTGCCTGATAAGTTGATGGATATTGGAAGATGTAACAGCATCCTGGCCAGTCCTTTGACAGATACAACTAATGATATTTATACATTGTATTTTCAATATTTAAGACGTAGTCATCATTGTGGCTAAGCTCCGTAAATAAAGACAAAAAAAAAGAACGCGTAGCAAAGAGTTCCGTTATTTATTACAACTACAACCCGATTGCAAAGTACTAGGTTTTTTCAAAATTTAGAAACCACAGTAGCATAAGGCGGCCCCTAGACCTACAATAACATTGTACAATACATTTTATTGTACAATAAGATTGAAAGGCGCTCTGAATCTAAACGATCAATTATATTGCACAATAATACGAACTGCACAATATTTTACTTCTCGTTAAGACGAACCACAGACTGAAAAATATTGCGCAATACTAACCCTACACGATGCAATGAAAAAATATGGTGCAATAAAAATTAAACTCGCTCAAACTTTCGTTCAATCATTGCGCAATCTTCAATATTAACCCTAAACGGTCAATATTGCAGAATTTGCAATATTGCGCAATATAATTGATCGTCTAGAGGCTGCCTAAGAGCAGGGTGCAGGGCACCCAATTTTAAAGTAGTAAGTGCATTTTTCCGTGTAGTGTAATTATCCTATTAAATTATTTTTTTCTAGATATTCATTCTAACGGACCATGACCTACTACTGTATTTGGCTGACTTATACGCAGGCCTATTTCTCGTAGTGGCAAGTGTTGCCGGAATAGGCATGTGTCTACAAAGTTTCACATTCACAACTGCTGGTCTGAAAATGACTACAAGATTGCGAATTCAATATTTTGCAGCTCTTCTCAGACAGGTAAATAATAAACATTATTTATAGGCCTAATAGACTTTAATCACTAATTTTCAGTGGTCGGTCCCTTTTTTCTGGCAACATGTCATTGCCTTTTTGAAACAACTTTAATAAAGAAATTATGATGGCTGGCCATTGGTTGGCCATTCAACTTTTTAAGGTTATAATTCTAAATAGTGCAATTTTCTTCGAGTAACCTATGAAGTTTTAGATGATTTTTCAAACCAGTCTTTTCAGATTTAATTATCTGTGGATTAGCGCGCGAATCGAAATTCAAATAAATTTTGAAAAAGAAAATGACTGAATTTTAAATGAAAGTATTTAAAATTCAGTCATTTGTTTTAGATAGTGTTTTGTTTTTGTAAAATTGTAATAGTTTTGGCGCCATGCATAAAACTATAAATTCGTACAATTTTTGAATATGAGTTCCTACATGAAAATACCGCTGCGCAGACAACATTCTTGTGACACATTTTTCGGTCTCGCGTCTATCCGCTCAGAGCATGTAACGCGCGATAAGGAACTTCGTTCTAAAAACCCATGCTTGTAATTTATAGTTAAATGGAGGAATTCTTTCCAGGAAATAGGTTTTTATGATAAGCAGAGTAATACAGTAGGTGCTATTTGCGCTCGACTTAGTGGCGACACCGCCGAAGTACAAGGTGCCACAGGATTGAGAATTGGTATCATATTGCAAGGAATTAGTTCAGTTGCGGTCGGTATCTTAATGGGTTTCGGTTATGATTGGCGATTAACTCTGGTTTCATCGGCATTTTTACCAGTGGTAAGTAACATTTACATAAGTTTTTTAGTAATCTATTCTAGAAACGTAGGACGAAAAGTATTCTTTAAAAAATCTCTCATAAAAGCCCCATGCTAACGAAGTGTGACTGTCATCCTTGTGCAACTAGCATAGCCTTTATGAATCATGTGTCCAACTGAGGTGCCATAATAAAAAAAGCGTTTCAGATTTGTTACAAAACTGTTTTATTTAGTAAAAATCTGTGTATTTCATGATGTGGTACTTGATAATTAGATGGTGGGCAGCATTTGGTTGGAGGGTCGAATGTCTCAGAAATCGCAATCTGACGAGCAAAAAGCACTGGAAAATGCCACCAGTGTTGCAACAGAAGCGGTCGTTAGTATTAAGACAGTGCAAAGTTTAGGTAAGCATATTATAATTATACTCGTATTAGAGTCAGGTATAAGTCACGAACATTTGGATCAAAAACTCTAGAAAAGTTCTTTAGAGAAATTACTCTTTGGGAAATCCCTGATAAACTAATATCTTGAAAGAGTTTTTATGTGTCACAATTCACGCTTTTACAGCCACCACACAGGCTAAATATGGGCTTTTCTATTTTCTAATAAAAAGGGGTATTTTTGTGAAATTCTTTTCTTTTTCAGGCATAGAAATGGTTTTCCTAGAGAAATTTCAAAAGTCTTTAGATGAAGGTTGTGCTGCAATTTCACAGAAATCGCGGTGGCGAGGTCTCATCTTGGGCATGGGTATCTATATACCATTCGTAGCGTATTCCTGTGCTAACGTCTATGGTACCACCTTGGTAGCTAACGGAACGCTGGAGTATAAAGTTGTACTTCTGTAAGTATATTAGTTACGATATCAAGTTATCGCAACTTCAGATCTCATCCAGTAAAAGCGGGTTATTCCAACACTACTTAATGGAACTGTGGCTTCTTAAACCTTCTAGCGGAGAATGCCGATACTCCATACCGTACTGCGTCACAGGCACATTACACAAAAAATAATGCTTATACCTAATGTACTGATCTTTGACCTTTAACTGAAACTATTTCTTATTATACATAGGCAGTTATTGTAACTATTAATGTGCAACAATACCCAAGCATTATATTAATATAATAAAAAAAGTAATTATAATGTACAAGTATTTATTATTCTTAACATAAAATCTCCGAAATCAATCTAGGTCATATGATTGTGGCCACCATATGCATTACTGTCCCTTTACACATACACATTTCAGGGTAACAGAATCTGTTATGTTCGGAGCTTACATGTTGGGTCAGACACTAGTTTATGCGCCGAGTTTCAATAATGCCAGAAGATCTGCATCTAAAATATTATCAGTGGTTAATAGAGTGCCTGCAGTAAGGACAGAGGATGGCGTTAAGGATAAACTAGATTGGGTAATTGGAGTTTTGAAGCATTAAAGACAAAGAAAAGACCTTGACTGTCATGTTTCTATCAAATTTGTTCCTATCTCTTTTCAGAATGCAACTGGCAATTTCAGCTTGAAGGGTGTGGAATTCAGCTATCCAACTCGAAAAAGGCAAAAAGTGCTAAGGGGAATAGACCTTAAGATGGAAGCTGGAAAAACAGTAGCCCTCGTTGGATCTTCCGGATGCGGCAAATCGACCATATTGCAACTAATACAGAGATTCTATGACCCAGACGAAGGAGCTATTGTAAGTAAAATAATAACAACAACAGTAAAATAACTCACCTTTAATGGACGCTCCAGACTTGATTTTCACGAGGATGATTTTCTCGAGGTATTCGAATTCACGACACTACTGTGGAACCGCTATAAAATTAAAAGGTGACGTGTAAAATTGCAAGCATGTGGTAAGAGTACTTCTAAAATCACTAAGTTATTCGTACTTATTATTAAGATTTATCCATACAATTGCTATATCATTCGGAATTTTTTCCATCTTTCTGTTATTTTAACTAGGCTAGGATTATTTAATTTAAATTTAGCACACCTACTCTTGTATATTTATGTAAATGAGCACTCTTTTCCTCAAATTCGTTGTCGTACATTAATAGATATTCAAATCATGGAGCCATTATTTAAAAACTACACTTGAAGTTGGTTTTGTCATTATTGTAGTCATCGAAGCATTCTTTTCGAAGATCAAAATATTTTAAAGTTATTATCGACATTCATTGCTAAATAAAAAAATAAACTCATATAATATAAAAATGGGACAGATTTATGGAACGGGTGCAACTAGACATCTGGATTTAAAGATGGACGATAAGCCCACATTTCCACCGACAGCCGGTTTCAAAACCAAAAGAGCGCAACGCACGATGGTAGCTAAGGAAGAGCATCTTAAATCCGCCAAAATTCCAATACCGTTTAGAGATTATTGCGCTCACTATTTACTTGAATATCAAGTGTGTCGCTACAATAAAATGCCGTTGCTCTATCAATGTGGACACGAAAACATGCTTATCTAACCTGCGAAGCACGGGACTACGAACTACGTATGAAAGAATTTGAAAGAGAGAGGCGTTTAAGAGAAAGAGAACTAAGAATAAACCCTCCTAAGAAAGAAAAGAAGGAATGCGTAGAGTGTCCTCCTAAATAAATTCAGTAGTTCTACAGTTAACTTAAATTTTAAATATTTTTTAAAACATATTATATTTTATTGTACTATTTTAAACTGGTATTCTTTAATATTTACACAATAATAAAACGATTACTTCTAGGTCTCTTGAATAACCATAAAAATCTAAGGCACAACACCTTAGAATAGATCTTTGTGAGTTTTCTCAGGAGTACTACGTAGCCCTACAAAATGCCACTACTACGTAATGCGCTACAATCGCTATTGGAGTTATAGATATGCGCCTGATCTTCTCAAGCTAATACGTGCATTTTCCAAAGCATCCACATAACCAATATCTTTTCAGTTTAATGCCTTCCCTTTTGTATAAACGATAGGCCTTTCCCTTAAATATATTCCCAAGTATTTCCATTTAAATCCCAAAAATCCGTCAAGCTGTAACAGGTTTGCGTTATGTGAGTGAAATCAAATTGCAGTTGGCATTCGTGGTATCTAATACGAATTGTTGGTAATCCCTTGAAAATACGGGTGTGAGTGAGATAGTTTTGTTTTTGTAAATACAAGCAGTGTTTTTAAACCAAAAACTGACACTAATTTCAAAAAAAAATATGCTTTAATTTTAATAAACATTTCTTATACGTACCTTATACTTATTTAAGTTACCGTTGATACCAATATAAAATATTTCATCAAAATTTTATGAAAAAAATGGAGTAATTAAAGGTACACAAACGTTACTTTAGCGCTCAGATAGCATACACAGAAAAATAATCCACAATTGTTGGAGCCGATTACAAATATCCTTTCTAGAGCCTTTCAAGAGACTGTTAAGTTTGTTTATTTAAGATCTTGCTGCCTTACTTTGTACCCACAGCGCAGGGAAAACAAAGTAAATAAGCTTTGAGCAGAGGAAAGGGGAACTTGCTTCTCATAGGCCCGATCCTAAATTGATTTGTGGCTCGAAAATGTACAGATGTAGTAGGATAACTTAAATCGGACCTTTTTTATTTAGGAGAATATATCCTGTGTCGCGGAGAACTTTACAAACCTTCGATCAAATAGACACAGAGAACACCCAGACTCAGAACAACAATTGGTTGTATATATATGGGGATAGAACACACGACAGTCGCGCAGTTGGAAGCGGCGAGGTGATTGCTTAAGCCACTGTGCCATCTGTGCAGTTTGTTGCTTTGTGGTGCAGGGCTACATATATTTGTTACTCCGCCGCTGTATCTCCTGCCCTTGTGCATGTTATTGTTACATGAAAATCAGATGTAGATGAGTGTCATGTAAAGAAAAGCATGTCGTAACCTGTTTCAGATGCCCTGAGTACACCGATGTTGTCAAGTTTAAAGTCTGTGCTGAATCCAGATCTCATGTCTAGAAAGGGTGTTCCTCCGTACAATAAATAACTTCCCAGTCAATCAGTGAACGGCCACTGGATTTCATTATTTCAGGTGGCATGGATAAACATGCTGAGATACGCTGAATCAATAATCCTAGAATCGAAACAGTTCCTAAACTTGTATTTCAACTCTCTGTCCATAAACAATAGGTAGATTTCGAAATTCAGAAATTGCTTATTATATGCAATCGTGGAAGAGCTATGCTTCGGCTCTTATGAGCCAAGCTCGACCGGTGAAAACCATTTCAGCGTGTGAGTCTATGGACGGTGATATTCACTCATCATCGGGTAACCCGCCTGCTCCTTTGTCACGTCCCATGTACCATAAAAAAAGATTTAAATTGATGTTAAGAAATCTTAACAGGAATTGGATGGAGTCAACGCCAAGACTGCCTTAACCCTCCCGCGGTTACGGCAACAGCTAGGTGTAGTGCAACAAGAGCCGATACTCTTTGACCGAACGTTAGCCGAGAACATTGCTTATGGTGACAACAACAGAAAAATCAGTATAAATGAAATTATAGAAGCTGCCAAAGCCGCCAACATACATTCGTTTATTACTTCTTTACCAAAGGTAAGCTTAAATAAATAACCCGTTGTAATATTGAACGTGATCCTTTTATAACTTTTGTAATACATTATTTGACTATGTACGTATATTATTGCAGCGTATATTTATATTCATCCTAAAGTACAACTAATAGGGTCATGTTAATAAACGTTACAAATTGTAAATTGTATTTTACATATCACAAATCTACGAGTTTCTGTTGAATAGAGAATGCAACTTACAAATTTACTATTGTTGAAAACTATCACAATTGTAAAATTGTACCTACATACAATTTTACATATTTCATTTTAATAATCATTTTCTCTTTACAAGTGACAATTTGTGTATTTGTAAGGAAAACTGTTTAATTAAACGCATATTTTGAATACATATTTTGTAAATTGTAAAACAATTCCGACAGGTGGACTCAACTTGTGTAATAAGTGAAGAAATTTAACTGTTATACATTAAAAAATGGTTCCAATGACTAGTAGTGAAAGTCGTGACAGTATTAATGATGAATATAATGAATGAAACAGATACTAATTAATAATTAATGTCTTTATTTTCTTATTTTAAGTGAACTGTAAAGTTTTTTATCTATCTATATACCTATATGTATATATAAGAGATTTCCACGTATATAGTCACTCATCACGATATCTCTGGAACCATTAGAGCTAAAGACTTGAAATTTGGTAGGCATATTCTTTTCACCGAGTAGAAGTCAGCTAAGAACGGATTTTAAGAAATTCAATTTTTTTTTTTTTAAATAATGTAAATAGCAAAACAACGTTTGCAGGGTCAGCTAGTAAGAAATAAAGTTATTTAACCGATATACGAGTGAACGACAACGGTGAGGTTTTGTAAAAGGATAAACTTTACGTTTGATGTTTCAGGTTTAAACCAAATTCTAAACATTTTAAAATTCTAAGATTTTTGAAACCCACCCTCAACTTAAGAATCTACAACAAAACTTACATTTTATGCAATTTGTAACTTATAATTACAAATTTGTAGATACAATATTATCATTGAAATCTACAGGCGTTTTTTGCACATGTAAACGTTTATTAAACAGCATTAGTAATGGTTATATTTGTAATGTAAAATTCTTACATAATTTTTAAGGCTTATTATAAAATTGTCGGCTTGTAACGTTTATTAAACAGGGCCCTGGCCAAACTAAGTTACAAAAAACATCTTTGTTAAAATTGAGTTTGCTTGTTTTTTTTTAAATATTAAAATACTAGTTCTTATATAAATATTTATCATAAACAAAAAAAATAGATATTAATAGATAGATATATATAAATGAATAGATAGATATAAATAGATGAATTTACAGGGCTACGATACAAATCTTGGTTCTGGCGGTGCGCAGCTGTCTGGTGGCCAGAAGCAGCGTGTATGTATAGCACGAGCCCTCATCAGGTCGCCTCGACTGCTTTTGCTAGACGAAGCCACGTCGGCGTTGGATGCAAACAGTGAACAAGTCAGTGATATCAAATTGTTGAACTTATAAACTCTTTATGCCTTACTCCGGGATAATCCCTTTTGAGGGATAGATATCCCGCAAAAGTTAGTTGGAAGGGAAAAGGAAGTTGTATAAATGTACTAGTGCTAGAAAAAATATGGATAATTATTTTAACCCCTACACTAAGTAAGTACAATACCTTTTTTGAGATTTTCTTTATTTTTCTTGTATTATGTTACCTATTATAACAGTATCTCATATATATATAGTACATACTGCCAATCTTAATTATTATTAATTATTTCACATCAACTACATTAATATGTAGATGCTATAAAATAATTAAATAGAGTATTGATCGAATAACCAGAAAACGTTAAAGTACGTTCTAATCTATTTATGGGTCCGATCCCCACATGGAACGACACTTTATGTGATCCACAAATTGTTGTTCTGAGTCTGGGTGTTTTTTGTGTCCGTTTCATGTATGTTTGTAAAGTCCCCCGCGACACAGGATATATTCCTAACTAACTGAAACCCGCGGTGTTACCCGCGTTTGTTGTTATAACCGCGGGCAACGCCGCGGGGCGAAGCTAGTCTAAAAAAAGTAGCCTAAGTTACTCCTTATGTCATCAGCTATCTGCCAGTGAAAGTCCCGTCGAAATCGGTCCAGCCGTTCCAGAGATTACCCGGAACAGACAGACAGACACACAGACAAACCGACAGACAGACAGACAGACAGACAAAAATTGTAAAAAAATGTTATTTTGGCATATGTACCGTGTAAACATACATATGCATTTAGTAAAAAGCGGTTATTTTAATATTACAAACAGACACTCCAATTTTATTCATTTGTATAGATGCGGGAATTGTCTTTTTAAAATAAAAGTATTAATAGACACGGTTTTCAATAGGTGGTCTCGGAAGCACTTGATAAAGCAGCAGAAGGCCGCACATGCATCACGATTGCCCACCGACTGTCAACTATAAAAAACTCAGACCTAATCTGTGTTTTAGACAAAGGTATGTTAATATAAATAAGTAAATAACAATTAAGAAAACCTACAAACAGAATGTGGGCGATCAAAAAATCCAACGCCGCAATATAACACGTACAAAACCCTTAAGTAGGTAGTCCAAAGTGCAACCTTTTTAAATTTCAGTTAGTTAAATTTTACACTAAATGAAGTTATAGCTAGCTTTTGTGTCTTATATATAGTCTTATGAATGGAGGATGCTTTAAACTGCTATAACCAACAAATACTCACTTTCTGAAGTTGGAAATCTGAATTCTGCCTAGCGGTTCATGGGTTTTGAACACCTTAACTTTAATGACTTCAGTTACAAAAATAATTTACATATAAACACTGTCCATTGAACAGTTTTGACCATTTGAATTTCCACATAATATGACCTCCTTTTTAAATTGTTAAGAAACGGAGATGCAAAGGTGAAATGTGTAATGTTGATTTTAAATGACACTAACTTTAAAAATTAATCATTTCCACAGGTAAAATTGTGGAACGCGGCAATCACGAAGAACTTTTATCAATCCAAGGATTATATTACCGTATGTGCAAAGGACAAAACATGGCATGAAATGGCGTCATGGAACCGCAGGTGGCAAATAAAATTATTTTTACACTGTGTATACTCGTAACTGATACTTGGCAGCAAGTAGCCAGGAAAGTATAAATAGATACGATCTTAAAAATCTATAGTGGTTTGTGATGATGTTAACTTATTAACAACTAGCTAGTGCCCTCAATTTGCCCCGCCCGAAAAAAATATAGAAAGATATAAAAATAGCCTAAGTTACTCAAATTCAAATTATTTTTATTCCATTTAAAAAAAAAAAATTGAAATCGTTTTTAATATAGACTAAAGTCGTAGATCAACACACACACAAAAGCAACAATCTCTGTTTTGTCAAATAGTTAGGAAAATTATACTTGTACAAAATCTATGATATGCCTGTGCCGATCTACAACCGTTTCCAAGGGGTTGAGACTTATGAGAAGAACTCATGGCCACTCTCTTGCAATTTACAGATAAATACAACGGCATCAATAAATATACCACAACATTGTTTTGATGTGTGCCAGTATGTCCATTATTAAGGACTAAAAGGTAAAAATACAAAAAGAGAAAAATAAGATTAGGAAAAAAGATCAAATAAAAGAGAAAGTGAAGTAAAACATAAAAAATAGGAAAAATAATAATAATAAAAAACACCCTAGCCCATATCACATTTCCACCATTTAGAAATAGCTTGCGCTAAGTTAATCCCAAGCAGTTTTGTCCTCTATGTAATCCACAATTGAGTACATGATATATAGTGTTTCTGACATAATTTGGGTGTTTTATTGCGGATTTAAATATATTAATATTTAAGTCTTGAATATTATTTGGGATTTTATTATAGAATCGTACACATTGACCTGTTTGTTGGTTAGGTTAAGGTTACCCTGACCTTTGTCCTTTGACCTTCGTTGTTTATCTAATGGAGCCTAGAGGCAGGTACTACAAGTTTATTTCTCTTTCTGGTATTATATATATTTCTTTAAATTTCTGCCTCAATAAAAAACAATTGCCTACACGGTTCAAATGGGTTGTTTGTGATCATTAGATGAAAATAAAAATTTAAAAATTCGAAGTTTCTCTTAAGCAGCGAAAGCATACAATAAATATATTTTGTTCTAAATTATGTTTTTAATAAGATTCAAAACCAGATCAACATCACAATTATAATTTTCTATCACAATTACAGTAAAGTGAAAATAATGAAAAACCACATCTTAATAATGATATTTTACAGTATACATACATCAGTTTTCATAAAAACAGTAGCTTTTTTCTGTCCTGAGTATGTACGTGTTTTTAAGTGGCTCTGCTAGGGAGTATGCTCCGCAACAGAGCAGAATCGATGCTCATTAATTTGTTACCCAGTGTACGTACAGCACTAATGGCCGTACGTGTACGTACAGCACTAACTAATAAACTGATGTATGATTCCTGTAACGATTAGGTTACAGGAATCGGTATATTCAAAATATTTTTTTAATAAGCACTCCAAAATAATTAGTTACTTGTTCTACGGGGATATAATTTATTTCCTAAAAGATTGTAGTATCGACTCCCTGTTTAGGAAAGGAAACCAAATGTTTGTTAGTTGTGCATTTGTGCATCACACACACGGCCGTCTGATTCCAAACTAGGCAGAGCCTGTGCTATGGTAACCAGGCTGCTGATACACATACTTATATATTTCTAAATACATAAATATTATAGATAAGTTACACCCAGACACAGAACAAATCATCGTGCTCATCATACAATTATTTGTCCTGGGTGGGAATCGAACCACGACCTCCGGCTTAGCGGTCAGGGTCACTAACCACTAGACAAACTGGCCCGCCAAATCGCCCTTCTTGGACGAACTCTGCTACTACGAAAAACCTGCGCTTGCACTACGGATATACCGTAGTGCAAGCGCAGGTTTTTCGTAATATATAAGTAACTTTTAACTGCTGCTAGAATACCTGGAATTCGATTTTCGCCTTTGAATGGTCTTTTTGTAACATGAGCTGTATAAACTGTGGTAGGTACTAACGAGTATTAGTTCTGATCATAGCAATGTTATAGCTATGCATTGATGATAATAATGAATAAATACATGATAAAAATATTGTGTGGTTTTATTTACTAGATTGCTATTACCGACATATTGTTAATAAAGACTGCAACTGCCATTACTTAACTTGATATTCTGATGTTTATAACAAATTAGGTATAATTTTAACTATTAATTAGTCAAAATGATGTATTTTTCGGTCCCCTATAGTATTGTCAAACAATAACCTAACTTTTAGTTCAATGATTCCCAATATCTGTGCTATCCCGTAGAACAGGTCTATAATTTTAATACTCCTAGAACGGGTGTTTTTTTTATGTACAGAACTGGCTAGATTTCATCAGTGTAAAGGTTAGGCCCAGTCCTTTTTTTTTCGTGCGTATATACCCTCGGATACCTATCGGTGGCATGTCGGACTCGAACCGACTTAAACCGCACGCCGTCTCGGGTACTAATAGCCGGGGAACCAGGTATACCCTAGAAAGGAAGTCCCTGGTGCCCCGACAGGCCCTCACCGATCTCACTTGACATTTGCATGTGTTAATTTGGTCTCAAACATTTAAAAACTGTCAAATGGTGCTAATTCTGTTGTGGACATCACTAAAATAAATTTAATTTAATTTTCTCAATTTCTCTAAAATTTTAGTGAAGCGATTTCCAAAATGCTATTCTAAATTTTAGAAAATTTAGTGTTTATTATGACACCTTTAAATTTAAATCTGACATCACTAAAAGTTAAAAAGGAAAATGTTACCGTTGTTTTAAAATAATTAATGATTAGGAGTGAATTAATAAATATAATCTATTGAAACGATATTTTTAGGATTTCAAAATGATAAAACATAATGATGTATTTCTCAATCATAGCCAAGTAAATACAGTTTTACTCGGTGTGGTATCTATGTAACTAAAACGAATATCTCTGAATTTATGCAATTTTGCCATTTTGATGGCAGTTTGTTTATCCCTTCACTATAGAAATCTGCTGGACGGGAGGCGATGAAGTCAGCGAAAACGTTTTGTACTGCCTCCCGGGTGTTGAATTTTTTCCAACTTAAAATTGTCTTAATTTTGAAAAAGTAGAAAATACCTATTACATAAGCTAGAACAAAAATAATTTAACTAGCAAATGGCGGTGTTATAAGTACCTAGTAATAATTTTAAAGACAGTTTTTAACCGTTTTTTTTAAATTAAAAATTATTAATATGGGTTTCTGTAATTAATTACTTTTAACCAAACACTGTTTACATCAATATTAGTTCTTTAGTTTTCTAACAGATGGGTAGGTAGTAATACAAAACAAAAACAATTTTAATTTTATGCCTGACTGCACTGATGGCGCCACGACGCTCACTACTACGCTGTGCTGTGGGTCCGATCCCCACATAGGATGACACTTTGTGTGATCCACAAATTGTTGTTCTGAATCTGGGTTTTCTTTGTGTCCGTTTCATGCATGTTTATAAAGTCCCCCGCGACACAGGATTTATTCCTTTAGCGGGACATGTCTAAGAAGAAAAAAAATCAAAGGTGAGTTGAATTTTGTGTTTTTGACTCTGCACCATCATTTAACACAGTGAAATTTTGGGCAGCTGAATTTAAACGTGGCCGTAAGAGCTTGGGAGACGATGAACGACAGTCCTCCTCCAAACGAGATAAATCAGCTTGAAGCGCGGTCATATCATTAAGAGATCGCTGCAAAATTTTACATATCGTCAGCATAACATAGGAGTCTCGATGATCTAAAACATAATTCTATGTCGTTCACGTATATCGTAAATAGGAGGGGCCCCATCAAAGAGCCCTGAGGAAAGCCGCTGGCGATAGGCTCTCAGACGAAGATATAGTTTAATAGAAGGATATCACGGTCCATACGGTCGAAGGCCTTGCTGTAGTCAGTCTAGAACACTAACCTGCTTACCTTTGTCCATAGTGTTAGTGATAAAATCATTTAGCAAGTCAAGATTAGTGACAGTAGATCTGCCTTTTAAGAAACCGTGCTGCAAAGGACTAAAAGATTTTTTTTAGAGCAGAGTATACCTGGTCATAGACTACTTTTTCAAAAACTTTAGCTATTTTACAGTTTAGAGATAGGTCTATAGTTAGTGACTTCCGTTTTTGCACTCTTAGGTGTTATGAAAGATGATGTCCACACCTTTAGGACAGAACAAGAGGACAGGGCAGAACAGAGAGAACAGGAGGACAAGAGGAGGTTGGGCAAGGGACGATGCACAGTGCACAAGTTTTGGAGATATGTTATCCGGTCCTGGCGCTTTGGATGTATCTAGCTTTCGGGTTAAATTACTAACGTAGTCAACGTTTATTTTAATTTGACATAGATCGGAAGAAGAGATAGAATAGTTTGATTTACGGCTGTTATCAACAGTATTACAGGCAGTAGTAAGGTTTGTATTAAAAGTTTGATTCAAAATAACTAGAGAATATATATTGATTCCCCTGCAAGCAAAGTTTGGTTGTTGTACGTTAAGGAGCTAGCGAAATGTTCAGAAGTATTTCGGATTAGTTTTGATTGATTCCTCTGTAAGCTCTAAGAAGGTCGTATAACATTTAGACTCCATTATTTTAACACGGAGGAGCTTAAATGGGGATTCATCTAACTTATTATCATACGTCTTAAACTTGAAAATGTCGGCTATACCTTCGAAGACTTAATTCAAGATCCTAACTATCATTCCTACGGCTTGCAAACCATTGCGCTACAACAGACATACAGAATGATCTTTCTGATGTCCCCGGAAGGCACAGGTGAAAATTCAAAGTTGAAAATATGGGCAGACTAACTAATGACTAATGTACTGACTAATGTAATTCAGGGTCCGACTATATGTTTAATGATCCGGTTGAGTGGTAGAAGAGAAATGAAGATTGATATCATTTCGTTGTTGTCTACTGATGCCCAACGTGTTAAGTAACTGCCACATACTAGAGGTATTGTTCTTTAAA